GATTGAGTTTTGCTCTCACCTTTCATGCCAGAATGCTTGGTGGTTGGTGCCAGAATGCCAGGTGGATGATGCTTGGCCGTGGAAAATCTTATGGGGAGACGAGGTCCACATGTTGAACAGCTTTGTCATTCTGCCACTTCAGTAAAGACAATGGCTGGGGGAAATCATTTTCATGCAAGATGGAGCCCCTCTACACGTTGCTGTACGGGTGCAACAGATGCTACGACAGAAATTCACAAAAGAAAGAGTCATTAGCCGCTACTTTCCAACTGCATGGCCACCTCGGTCGCCTGATCTTACCCCATGCGACTTCTGGCTATGGGGTTACCTTAACTCCAAGGTCTATCAAGGAGTGGTCCAGGACCTGGCTACGTTGAAGGATAACATATCACGGATCGTACGGGAGATTCCTGCAGGCTTGTTACTTTCTGCTGTTGTGCATACTGTGCACAGAATGCAATATGTAGTCCCCAACAACGGCAGCCACATTGAACCTCATTTGAATGCAAAATAAAAGGTAATTTCCGTATTGATTTGCATTTGTTAACACTCTATTTTCTATTACACAGCACCAAATATTCCCCTAGCGGTGACTTTTGGAACTAATTTGTTTTTTCGCGGAATCCTTCGTCCCCCGTCTTGTTTAATCTTCCTACAAAATGTGGCGTCATTCTCGCAAATAGATCGCGCTACAGAACACAGTGAGCACTGTCAGTTTAATTATGGCCACCCGGTATTTACTTTATGAATTTCAAGTTGGTTTAGAATGGGAAATGATTAATGGATTAGAAGAAGAAAGTAGCTGACTTCATAGCATATTAAATATTTTAATAAACAGCAAGATTACTAAACAAAATTTACAATGTGAAGGTTTTTTTTTTCCCTTTAACAATAAGTTATTTTACTGTATTTTAAAACATTATTCACTTACACTATTTCAGGTAATTAATTACTACATAATTTTATAATCAATTAGTAGAGAATTTTTTCCGAAGTTTTGTTTAAGTGTTGAATTATTTACTGCCCATCTTTGTATTTAGCTAAAAATTTTATTAATAAACCCAACTTCCAAACTTCTACATTAGCATTTTTTTAAAGGGAAATTAGAGATCTAAATCGATGATAGACGTCACCAATATCTTTCTTTTCTAGAGACTAGCTGCTGACACTGCCAACTACTTAAACTAACTGCAAAAGAAGAATGTATGTACAAGGTTATAGAGTCATTAGGTTATTTTGAAGCAGGAGATGTGAAAAATGTGCAATGCTCTGGGACTCGAACCTGGATCTCTCGATTACGCGCTGAGAGGCTACCGTTAAACCGTGGTGGTTAATTGGAGGGAGGGAAAAAATTCCTTATAAGGTTATCATTTAAATCAACCATTTAATTATAATTTTAGCCTTTATCCTAACTTTTCATTTCCTTTTCCTCACCAGAACGTAAATGAGGTTAGATAGTATTTAAACTGAGCGCCGCCTGAGATAACCACTGACCTGACTTTGTTGTAAAAGTCTTACAGTGTTAATAGTCATCCTGGCAGAAGGGGAAATTTCCCCTGTGTAAAAATATACATATAAATATTACATGGGCATACTTTTACTGAGATAATCAAATTAAACTTGTAATTCACAGTATTTAAACTGAGGTTTTTGGATTGTAAGACACAGCGTGTTTCAGGCCTGAACGGATACGCTACGTATAGTTCCTGCTAACTCTGTGAAGCTGTAATTACTCGGCTTTGCTTTATCCCTGCCAACATTTGAATCTGATATGTCAGTTAGAATTATTGAGCCAGTTTAGAGTAAAATTTAATTGTTTAGTCTTTGACTACTACACTATGTTTTAAATTTAAATTTACTTTTCCTTTAGTTGCATTACTATGAGTTGTAGTTAATATTGTTAACACGAGAATATGCATAAAATAAAATTTTAAAAAATTCTATTCTGTTAAAATAAAAAAAAAGTACTGTGACTTTGTGGTTACTTTCAGACATAGCGATAATTTGCTTCACGTCTCTTAGGATTATTTAACTTTTACCAGATTCAGGAAAAGCCGCTATATGTAATGCTTTTAATATATTCAGCTAGTGTAATTTCACGAGGTCCAGCTGTAGTTAATATTAACATAGATAAAGAACTACGTTTACTGATTTTTAAATCGTTTACTTTATTAATAAGTAACAGACTATATTTCAAAAGAAAAAAAAATTGTTGTGGACATCATGTGACTTAATTGTAGGGCCTATTAAATTATACACATTTTTTACTGTACTTCATTTAAACTTATTTCCTCGAGTTATTCTAACTCAACTAATCAGTCTCATAAGGCAAGCTGAAAATGACATAAAAAATTTCAAATTTTGAAATTAAATATACCGGTCAATTTCTGTCGTGTGGAAGTCAAACATCTTCTAATTTAAATTTCTCATAACGGATATAAATATTTCCCAAATATACACTGGTGTGCAAAAATTAAGGACGAAGTCGAAAAATTAGCATATCAGCTGAACGAAGAGGCAGAGCGGACAGAAAGACCAATCAGGAGATTAAGTAAGGCGATGTACGGTAGCACATGCGTAGATATGCAGGTAGACGTAATGGGGGAGTGTCTAAGTAGTATAAAGCATGTTGTCGGTGTAAGATCAGTATTTCTGGCAAAGAGATTGCACTCCGTATAGCAGTTAAAATCACACCGAGTTGCTGCCTCAGCGAGAAATGGCGAATAATCAATCTGTTAGACGACATCTGGATGCTTTTCCCGAGGTCGAATCATTGGGAAGTTGGAGGAAGGCCGCAGTGTGACAAGTGTGGCTGCAGAATTCGGAATTGCTCACAGCATCGTTTCACGACTTTGGACACAATTTCAAACTATAGGAACAGCTATCCGGGGGTTCAGTAGTGGTCGTCCACGAGGAACCACACCCGCAGATGACCGGTATATTGCCTTACAGGCCAGAAGAAACAGGCGGCAGACAGCGGGAGAAATCGCTAGACACACGACACAGGCGACTGGATGACCGATATCGCGTTTTACTGTGGCCAGAAGACTGCACGGTGGTGGTCTGTTTGCACGACGCCCTGTACGGTGTGTACCTCTAACGCCTGCCCATCGGAGAAGGCGTTCTCTGTGGTGCCGGGAACACCAGAATTGGAGAGACAATGAATGGGGACGAGTACTCTTTACAGATGAGAGCAGATTCAGTCGAGTAGCGATTCTCATCGCATACTCATCTGGAGAGAGCGGGGAAAGCCGCAATCATCCCTCGAACATCATGAAAGGGACAGGTATGGAGGTGGCGGTGTTCTCGTTTGGGAAGGCATCATGCTTGTTAGTCGTACAGACCTTCACATCTTCGACGCAGGTTCAGTCAACGGGACGCGTTATTGTAACGAGATTCTTCCATATGTGCGTCTTTTTAGAGGCGCTATGGGCCCGCAGTTCCTTTTCATGGACGACAATGCACCATGTCATCGCACAGTAGCTGCCGAACAGCTCTTAGAGAGTGAGGATATTGAACGTATGTATTGGCCGGCACGATCTCCGGATCTCAATCCTATCGAGCATGTATGGGATTTTCTAGGCAGACGCTTGCAGCTCGTACCTTACCACCAGTAACACGATTCCGGAGCTTCGATTGGCGCTGTAAGACGAATGGGCAGCAATGCCTCAACAACTCATTGACATCCTCATTCTCAACATGGGCAGACGCTGTGAAACCTGCCTAGCAGTCAGGGGAGATCATATCCCCTATTAAGGACCGGATGTTTCTTGCTGGACACCCATCACAGGGATGTTTTGGCCTTCAATTGCATTGCGCTCCATGCTACTTTTTCAATAAAGCTTCTTTTTATCTCTCTGATTTCTCTTTTAGTAGGTGTTGCTTACATTACCCATGTCCTTACGTATTGGGGATCTTACGATATTAAATGTGTTGATTTGGAAAGCTTTTGTACAAAGTTGTATTGAAAAAACCGTCTCGTCCTTAATTTTTGCACATCAGTGTAAGTATAGGAACCGGGAGACTGCATTAAAAGTTAGATTTCACAAAACTTCCCTTACTTCATAAAAGGAAGTTAAAAGATGTGCACAATTAGCTGTTATAGCAGTCCCATGTACAAAATTTCAACGTTCTATGTCTAATTATTTTTGAGTTATACGAGATATATACATACCTACAGACGTCACAAAAATGCTCCGCTCCTTTGAATCCATTTTACAAGCCATTTTGAAAAAAAAAATTGTCTTTTATTCTGTGCGTCCGTACAGACATCACGCAAAAATGTAGCCGAAATGGACTCGGGAACGATCAAAATTGGTAGTTCCATTGTAATGTGATACCCAAGTTTTTCGTGATCCCAATAACTTCCTTCATATCGTACAAAAGAAGTAATTAAATACCTTACGCTTGGCCTAATGACAGCTAATTGGCATGTGAAAAATAAAAGTATTTTATATCAGGCAGTGGCAACACATTTCTCGTAAATGCTGAGTTCTTTATATTAAATTTGAAAGACGACTATCTTCTCCTTTGCTGAAGTGGCAACGTATTTCCTTTAAATCACTGAATTGAAATATATCGATATGATTAAATTTGGTGGTAGATATTATTCAGTTAGAAACATAAGTAACTTACCCTTCAAAGAGTGGCAACATCTTGCCTTTTAATTACCAAGTTTGTTAATCAAGAATTCATTAAGTTCGCACATTGTATAATATGAAATAAATCAAAAAGAAATTCGAAATTTAAAATTCCATCTTCTTATATGTACGTCTTTAGGTGGAGGCCTACATGTATTGAAAGTTACGTCGTTGTCTAAGCGCGCCATTTTTCCACAATCCAAAGAGTATAATAAATTCTTGTTATTATTTTATAATGGAAATAACGGCATCGATAGAAGAAGAAAAATCGTCTGGAGCCGTAAGTAATGGTTTACTGTCCTGCAAATCAAATACTTTAGATAATGAATTAATTTTAAATTATACCTGTATTCACTCGAATAACTTCTCAAAAATTAGGTTGTATAGTTTTCCTCCAAATGTTAACATATCGCAAACATGACAAGAGTGCAATGAAAACTTATTATTTATTTACAGAAAAGTTTCAAAAATCTATATATAATTTGATATTTATTTCTCTGAGACTGTTAGTATTAATAGAACTTAGTAAGCCCAAGAAAGCTCATTCTTTAGACATGTTTTAAATGAAACTGTGACTTGTTTTTATGACATCAATTGAAAATTCGGTTGTCTTTAAACAGATTTTCTTCTTTTTAGTATCCAGTTTCGTGTTGAATCGTTAGAACAAATGCAGAAATTTTTCCGCTGCCTAATGAAAAAAAAAAAAAAAAAAAAAAAGGCCTATTTTAGAAAGAAAGAGCCTATATTAGAATATTAAATCATATTTATTTGCAAAGTTTCAAACCATTAATTAAAATTACAGTAATAATTATGAATTTTCAAAGTTTCAGAATGTTCATCTATAGCAGAGTCCCCAAACGTTTTGTCTGTAAAAGCACCTTTTAGAACAGCGGTCGCCAACCGGTGGTCCACGGACCACTGATGGTCCGTGATAACTTTGCTGGTCCGCAGAAAAATTGGTAAATTATTTATATTTTTATGAAGATTTAGTTTAAAAAATGACGAGTAACAAAACCTATCATGGAATATGGATTATACTTTTTTTTTATTTTAGCTACTACTTGAAGCGAAATTTCTCTGAATTTAGTGACTTTTTAGCTACTTTTGCAGGTGTATCTAGCGACAATTGAAAGTGAGAGTTGGCGTCCCTGGATATGCTGCTGTTATCAGTATTAGCGCTAACTGGAATTCTCTTTCCTTTTGAATTACAAACATATGCTATCGTAGTCATTAATAACACAGTTTGTCTTCATGTCAATAGGTAACTTCATGGATTTTTATGGATGGAACTTGATGGAATTATAAACAAGAATGCAGATAGTTCATCCTCACTTTTGTTTATAATTACATCACTGGAAGTTTCCGTGTTTGTTTTGTCTAACTGTTGATCGATGGCGCCATTGAGTTTGTTTACAATAATTAAAAATTCCCGGTATAACACTATCAGTTTATTGATATTGCTTTGCGTTTGCCGATTTGTTCTTCATTTTCGTGAAGTTCCTTTTCAGTAATATGGAAATGCGAAGCTTTCTGTACAAGAAGGTAAGATTTTTGTACTTTTCGTGTAATTTTTCAATGTGAGCAAAATATGTATAGTTTGCTGATTATTATTGTATAAATGTATAAATTATTGTATAAATTACCTTTTTTTGTAATTCACATTAGTGGTCCGCTAAATATAAAATTATATATGTAAGTGGTCCGTGTAGTTCTAAGGGTTGACGACCGCTGTTCTAGCATATCTGTGGGACGGCGTTCACCATTTACTTTTCATGGAGAATTTATAATTGGATAAAGTTAATAATACATGCACATAAAAAAGAGATCGGTGGAATTTTGCCTTTCAAATAATTAATTAAGGTATAATTTATAATAATAATTATGTATTTTTAAAGTTTCAGAATGTTCATACATGGTAGGGATCCCCAACCGTTTTGTCCGTAAGAGCACATTCTAGAATATCTCTTGGACGGCGAGTACCATTTACTTTTCCAAGGGGAATTTATAAATGGATAGAGTTAATAATAGATGCACATGAAAAAAGAGATAGGTAACATTTCTTCTTGTGCTGGTATCGTGTTGGATGTAATTTCTATTTCATTAAAAATGAGAAAACTTTCACATAGAATTTTATTGAAAACTAAAACATTTTTATTGCGATCGCACAGCAGCGGGCACACGTTAAATCGATTGGCGGGCGCCATCGTTGCGGGCATAAGGTTGGGAACCTCTGATCTATGGTATACCTAAGAATATATATTATAATTTGGAACGTGACTTTCTCTTGAAAGATTCCATATCTCGTAAAGTTGTATAAAGTTATGCAAGAACACTTTTGTCCATAATATTTTCAACTGAGATAGGATTCGTGATTTTTCTTTTCAGAAAGATAATTACAAATTTCGATTAGGAAAATTTGAGCTTGTTTCTTCTTATGTTTGACCAAACATCTGAAACAGTATTAAAAATTTTCCACAGAATTTTTGAAATAAGCTTGAGCTTTCTTCTGACTGTAGTAATTATGGATAGGTGATGATTCTTTAACAATTTATTGCGACGTTTACAATGATAGTCAATTAGAGATTGTAAAGACCATATTTTATTCTAACCAATTATTTTTAGTATGTAAAACTTTCTTTTATCTTTCTATTTCAGTTTCCTATTTATTGCGACGTTTGCAATGATAGTCAATTAGGCACTGTGTAGAGACATTAGGTATTTTTTTTTTTTTTTTTGGAAACAGATAAGATGAAACAAACTTCGCCAGGAATCAAACCACGGATCTGTCAAATACTCGCTGAGCGTGCAGACCACCCCATCACGAAGGCATGCCAAGAAGGCGGGAGAAATACCTTATAATTGTAAAGACCATATTTTATTCAAACTAAGTAGTTTTAGCTTGTAAAACTTTATTTTCTCTTTGGACTTCAGTTTCCCGCCGGAATGTAAATTTTAATGACGTATGCAAAATCTAAACATGTTTTAGAAGTAGTATTTAAGCTGCGTTGCAAGCGTTCGAGAGTAGTAACGGAGTTAGTTCCGAGTTTATGCTGCTTGTTTAAAATTAGCTGTCTCGTCGGTGTTAGATACATTTTAGTCTATACTGATATTCTAAACTCGACTATGCTGTGTGCGGCCAATTTAGCGGTTTAGGAGCCAGTCGTTAGCCATTAAAATTTATTAGGGATTTGTTGCATTTCTATTTTCTGTTAAATAAGTTAGCTACAAGTGGTGGTAAATTGTCAGCACCGAGTGCGTGCATCTAATTAAATTTAGTTAAAATAAAAATGTTATTTAAAACCTTCTGCAGTATCTATTCTTCAAAGACATAGCGAATATTCGCTACTTCGTCTTCTACGCAGGGTCCACACATTATACTATCAAAAAGAGTGAGATTCTATAACATTATAACAAGGCATTATATAGTTCTGTATCCGAAACATCATGATGATGTTTATGGTTTTCAGCATGTCAAAAGCTGCTGCAAACAATTTGCCAGTTATTTATAATCAATCGTTTTTAAACCTGTAAATTTTATCTCAGGGAATTCATTAGATTTTTAGGCATCATTAAGACTTCGTGGATAGTATGATGTGCAGCGAAGATTCATACAACGTATGGTTCAGATGAAAGTTCCTGATACTGTATGAACGTTTGTGACTCGAGTGATTTTTTGGCATGGGGAACTTGAAATATGTCAGATCGTAAGTTCCACCAAAATATCGGTGATAGACGAAGAGGCCAATAAGATCTACATATAAACGTTCTTCGGGTTACTGTAGCTGACAAATGGGTTAGAGCTTGAGCACATATCCTTTGTGAACTTTACCTAAATTATATAATCCAATCATAGCAATTTAAATGTAATCTAAGAAATGCTTGAGAATTTGAATGCTTCGGTTTCAAAGTTTACTGTCTTAGAATAGATTTTAAACTATTTATTAACGTTACGACAAAAGGAGAAAAATAGAATTAATTGCAACATTAACAACATCATTAGTAGTTAATGTGTTGTTAATAAACAGCTTGCAAATTTTGAAGAAGATTTTAATTTTCGCTTCCAATGCATAGAAATACGGAATGTGCCAGCATGGCTCATACAACTGCTAAACTACGATTTATCTTATCTGAATATAATGATACAAGAAAAGGTGATCGCACTGAAAGAGGGTGTTTAAGCACATGCCGAGGCAGAGTATGTGTGGTTGCCTGAGAGTCTTCCACAAATAACTGAAGTAAAATAAGGAACTACAATTGGTTAGTTTAATGAGTTACAGTCCATTTTCGTAATTAGTCGGACCAATTTGTTTTTTTTTTTTTAATTACTACGCTCAAAAATTAAAACACTTTTGTTATATGACACAATATAAGTTCTAAGTATTAAACATCTGTCTTTTATTTCCATTAAAAATATTTTTTACAAGTGGGCAAGTTACATTTCTCTTTGTATTCTTTACTTGCTTAAAAACGCATTCCTTCCTCAGTTCCGTCAGAAAAGTGTGAAAGATTGGTTGGTTGTTTTGTTGTTCGGCTATGACACGAAACTAGGTATGGTACGTTGCGTTAGATACTAGACTGATTATATGCTAGGTTAAAATTCAGTCAAACATACATAAAGAAGAAATAAGCCAGATCCAGTACATAAATATAACATGTCGTTTACATTTAAAACTTTGAAAGCCATCAATGGACCGACAACTTAAAAGCAAGTACAGTCAAAAGTCGTTAATTCGGATTCGTCGGGACTTCGGCGATTCCGGATTATAGATCATCACTTTAAATCTGGTAAGATGGCATGCAGAAATTATAAAATTAAAAATATGAAACCGTAATTTATGAAATAAAGAACAATTATGATCTAAAGGGTATCAAAATTTTTCCAAAAAAAAGTTTAATATTTATTTGTTTACTTTATTAAACATTTCTTTCCATGTAAGTTGTTTAAGTTGCTTCGTTTTATGTGATAATACTTTCTCTTTAATTCTATAAACAGGCATAATTTCTTCTGTTACAAAGTTCTGCTGTTGAAGTCCTATAATTGCTGTTTCGAGAATATAGACTAATTTGTCAATCGAAATTTTTTCGTTTTCAATAAACTCTGTGTCACTTTCTTCACTATCGGAAGCGAATTATATTGACGAGGAATTTGATTTAAATCATATCAAAGACAGAGTACATCGAGATGAAATACTACATTTAGTAAGGAATTTAAGGCAAATAAAATAAAAACATCTGCCCTGAAGATAAGGAAAGTGCTGACAGATCAACTTCCAATTCATTGCGCGCCGTGGCATTCCACCCCCCCCCCAGAGCAGCGTGAAATTGATAAACAGATTTCAGAATGGTTAGAGAAACAAAGGATATGCCTTTATCCATTTTTTGTAGCAATTCCACTTTTTGTTTAATGGACTTCGAAACATACTTTCCCTTTGTAGATCCTTTACATATTAGTAAATATATATCGGAAATATTAAGTTCAAGCTTACTTTTATAAAATTGCTCTAACAGTCTGCAAAAAGTAATAAACCGGATTCAATTCAATTAAGGAACAACACAATCTGCAACATTAACTGAATTAGATGATTTTAGTTTAGACCGTCCGTTATACATTAAACTCGCATGCGTAAACGTATTATGCGCATGCGCACACGCATATTCGCAGCCGTAAAGGTCTTACGCATGCGCAGAAAGTTTGTAGCTTTGAGCTTTGGATTATAGATCATTCCGGATTATGGGTGTCCGAATTAACGACTTTTGACTGTATGAACCAAAGAGGTAAACAAATTAAGTCAAAAATAAATTTAAATCATGCTTAAAAACGTTAGGAAACATTTTGATCTACCTTGTGTGCTGCAGGATATGTACTTTATTATTTTTCGGTCTTTTGAATGCAGTCAAGAAGAAATCCCAAAGAAACTCGAATACCTCGAAGAAAGTGACGAGAGTAAGACCCATGAAGAATCCCAAGTTTCCTCCAATATTCGCAATCAAGGTTTCCCACTAAATTGTAAAATGAGAACAGGTAACGGATAATTAAAAAAATGCTTCTCAAGCAGATTTGAATACATGAATATGGTAATAGTAAAGTACTACAAAGCATGAAATACATTCTGATATTTTACTATCCTGCATTTATAGCCATTGTATTTTATTACACTGCACTGTAGTAAAATGACATTATGTGTACATTAGAATTAAAAGGAAAATTCTTAGTAGAATAATTATTCTGTCAGTTTTCCTAAGGAAAGAGCGTATGTAGCATAATCTTGTGGGGGATTTGTTTAATTTACTCTTTAAACTTTAATTTTTTTTTGAAGGAAGCTTTCCGATCGCTCTTTAATTCAACCCACGCTTTCTTGCCAGAATGTAAATATTTTATATTGTTCTAGCGCAGACATAGGTTGCTTTCAGAGCGACAGATACAGCTTAGGTGCTCCAAGAATTGGCTGTGACAAGCTAACAAAACCCAAATTTTTAATGAAATAAAATCACAACAGATAATAGAATCAAAAGAATCCACTACATATGGTGGAAACCAATGTAAACTATATGCACAGAATTGCGAAGTGCCAATTATGACTCATTATTATAACAGATCATAAAAATGGTTACTGTTTTTCTTGGCGGCCCAGTAAGCTGTTTTCTTTTAATACCTGTCCATCAGCGTCACTGATTCAAAACATATAAGGAATGAAGGAAAGTAAGGTGCTTTTACTGATAACAGTCGATTTCAGCCTTAGCAGTGATTGTAAATATCAAGTAACCTACTGACAGATTGTCACATTATGATCATCTCGCGTACATTATTGAAAACAATATGGCGATTGAAGTGTTCTTATTTGTAGATGTAATTTGATAGATGCACAGAACTGCCGATACTGAGGGCTGGTACTGCTATTAATGCAAGGTACCATAGATTAGTGAGATAAACCTGTGTAACCATTATCTGTTTGAAGGCACTCATAATCATAAATTCATCTTCTTAAATGAAAACACGAACTTCATTCGGCGGTTGCTATGCAACTTGGAAGTAACTATAAAGATAATTTGCTCATCCCTTCGATCCCAGTTTTATTCAACACATATGACACCCAAGGCAGGTACACTACAGTACAACCTCCAACCTCGTGTACAGTTTAACATCTGAAACTGTTTAACATTTGAAACTGGCTTCTGCAATCGATTCAAGAAACCTCAATTTCATTCATGATTCAATTCATCTATGAAATATTACAACCATTACAGTGCATGCAGTTTTGAATAAAAGTCTGTTTATTAATTTTATGCTAATTACTGTTATTGTATTTTTCCCTCATCCTTTCTACACCTTCTGAGATACATTATATTTGACTTTCCCATGTCCATGCACTTCTAGTCGTACTTGACGTTTCCTTACGAGTTGCATCCCAATGTAGTTAGTATAAACGACTAAACGACAGCGACAACCAAATACTCTGCATTAATAATCTGATAATCGATGCTCTGTGTTCCATTTTCTTTTTCGTAACCGTTACCCCATCATATAGTTGCTTTAAATATTCTCAGTTTTAAAATATAAAGAAAAGAAGTGCACAAATAAAGTCCAACATATCACTAAATTGCAAATCATTAATTTAAATGATGACATTGCTATATGTGTGACCGATTCTCCGTGCAGTTTCCATTTTCCGTACTTGCGTAGCAGAAGGTATCTAGAATTATGCATAAAAACATTGTTCCGTTTTTTTCTTTCGTCTGACACCAGTTGTTACGTTATATCCTTCCTTCAGGTTCGTACGGGGTTCGTAGATTTGGAGTGAATAACGACGACACTTGATGAAGTATCGAAACACACTTTATTAGTCAGCATTGTCAGGACAGCTCCAAAATACGTTTTACAGTCGTCGATGAACTACTATAAACACGCTGGAACAATCAGCGACACAGCCTTCACACTGTCAGGCAATAACGGTGAAGACAGCTTTTTGCAGGAAGCACCAGAGTATAGCTCCTGACTCTGCTTAGTCGTCTCGGAACTCCACGTACTCTCGAGACTCTCCACGCTACAACTCGCGATGCACTCGACGACACACGAGCAGAGCTCCCGACTCTTCGGATCAGCCGTTCCCGGAGCTCAACACGCTCTTTCGACGATGCACAAACCGCGATACACTAAGAGACTCCTTCGGTGCACTCGACGATCCGGCACTCGTTGCCCGGCTGTCAACTCGATCGACACCGCACGGCTCGCTAGACGAGGCAGACTCTCTGAGACACACTCTCTATCAGCTCGCTAGGCGAGGCACTAACTCTCGCACTCTATGCGAGGCACATACTCTGACTCGCCCTCTTGACGAGGTACTCTCTAATTCGTATCTAACTGACTGCCGACCAGCAGGATTTATATAGCTTTCGGCTTGTGTTCAAGAACCTTCTTGGCTAAACCGCTAAGAATTCGTTCCAGAAGGTTCTCCATCAGTCCATGGCATATAGCCAATTTTGTTGCCAAATGGGCGATTTCTCGCCAAATATGGCAACCACGCCTTCCCTTGCCATTTTATGGCAACCCTATAACTGCTTTGCGGGAAAGCTATCTCAAGGCGCCTGTACATTTCGTAACAATATTTTAAATGCTATACGTTATAATATTATTATGGATGGATGAACTAACATATAGGAATTTAGAGGAGGGTTAACTGGATACTTGCAGATAACGAAGTATTTTAAGTCTATCGTTTTAACTGACATTCTACATTTTACTATTTTCCTTACCGCTTTTACGTTTTTTGGCAGTATGGGTCTCCAGACGGTTAGACTGGCAGCAAGAAATGAGAATTTCCTGCTGAAGCTGCACATTCCTTTGACAGGCGAAATTGCACTTCATTTAAACCACCACAAATCCCATAGGTACATATGTCTCTCCCAAGCTATTGAGACAACTCAAAATTAGAATGTTCTTACGCGTAATAGCGAGTAACTGATAGGTTGCATGACTGAAAAATCCTATTTGCTATCGCACTTAATTTTTCATTATTTAGGTTTGATAAGATATTGTTCGGAAAAAGGTAACGTCTTTCTTTACGCTAATTAGTCATTTTGCCACTAGGTGGCGGGCATCTCTTCCTTTACTTTTGCTGTAATTAAGTTCCGAGAAGCAGTCGAGATTGGAACCGCTCTGAGGAGCGTAAAGACTCAGAACTAAAAATGTACTGTCTTAAAATAATTATCACCTACCTTGTAAATAGTGTATATTAGCTTTTTATTTCAATAAATAATTAAAAGACAAGATGGCCTGCTAATTGTAATAGAAACTCTTACTGGAAAACGTGATTATTAGAAGCCTGGCGTCGTCGAGAACACTGAAGATGCAGCAGGTAAGGAATTTTACATTAATTTTATTGTAAATAGAAGAACCTGATGCAACATTTTTATGGCGCCCGAACAGGGACGCCAGGTTTTTTGAAAAGTTCTAATAAAGTGAATTCAAAAGCTGAATATTAAAATTGAAGATTTTAATACTTGTTCTTGAAGTATTCAGCAAAAGAATAATTTTGTTTTCTAAGTAAGAGTTAAATATTTGTTTTTCATGAGACGTATATTTTTTGTGTAAGTGTTTGAATCTAAGAAAGATAATGGCTGAAGTAAGTAGATAAATTAAAAAAGAAAAGAAGTATCTTAAGAACTGCCGTTACAAAACTATTTAAGAAAATCGAAAGTGAATTAAATAAATCTGAAGGTAGTATTAATGAGCTCGAAGAATTGTTAGAACAGCTTAATGCTAAAACCGAAACGCTATCTAATGCCGATGTAGGAAGTTGAACCAATTCTGAGTGTAGATGAATTCGAAAATGAATTCGAAATTACAGAACAATATCGCGAGAAGATAACGTTATGGAAATTCAGGCTTAAGAAACGGATTAAGGAACTTAATCATGACTTAAATGCACCGAACACACAGCAAAATATAAAAGATACACCTAATGTTAAATTACCAAAACTTTCGATTCCCGTATTTTATGGGAACAGTAGTCAATGGCTTACTTTTTGGAATAGTTTTGAGTCCTCAATACATAATAACGAATCATTGAACAAAGTAGACAAATTTAATTACCTGAAAGCATATTTAGGAGGAACAGCTGCTAGCTGCGTTCAAGGACTTCCGTTATCGCCAAAAACATTATGATTCAGCAATTCAAATCTTACACGACCGTTTTGGAAGGAGAGACATTCTTATTAATGCGCACATGAATAATTTGCTGAATATTGAATCATTAAAAAATGCGAATGACATAAAAACATTTCGTAACTTGTATGATAAAGTACAAACACAGATTAGATGTCTCGAAGCGTTAGATGTTGTATCGGAATCTTACAGCGCTTTGCTGTGTCCGATGATTTTGAAGTTATTGCCTTCAGAATTAACGCTTGAATTTCATAGAACACAAAATGTTGGCACCGATTATAACATAAAAGATTTAATGTCATTTTTACACGCAGAACTTTCATCCCGCGAACGCACAAGGTCAACGGTTTCGCAACAGCAAAAAGTATCCGATCGGCGACAGTCTTCTTCCCCCCCTGCAACGAAAAGCGCATATGGTCTCTCAAATAGACATAATAAACCAAAGATTCCGACCGCTACAGATTTGTTTACAAAATCCGAAGGCAGAGAGGAAAATATGAACTGCGTCTTCTGTAATCAATTTCACAAGACTTATGACTGTAGTTTCGTTTCCGGCTTATCATTACAAGAAAAAAAGGGACATTTTAAAAAGAAAATGTGCTTGCTATAAATGCCTAAAATTACACCATTTGGCTCAAAACTGCAGAACAAAAATAACTTGTTCTATTTGTAAAAAACAACATGCAACTATTATGTGTAATAAACAAAATCCTTCTGTCGAGGTTTCGGAAATTAAAAAAGACGAACAGATAGAAAATAAAGTACTTTCAAATCAAGCAGGATGTTCAGAAGTATATTTGCAAACTTTAATTGTTCGCATATATGGAAGAGGGAATAACCAATTTGTTCGAGCGATAATTGACACCGGAAGTCAAAACTCATACATAAGCAGGTATGCAGCAGAAAGGTTACAATTAAGAAGCTTAGGTGAACAAAGTGTAACCCACGGACTTTTCGGTGGCATAGAAGTTTCGGAAAAACATAAACGTTATAGAATAAAATTGGGTAGCGTAGATAAACGGTATAATTGCGAAATCAATGTATTGGATGAAAGAAAAATATGTTCTTCGGTCCCTAAAATCAAAAAATATACACTGGATTAGGGAACTTAGAAGAAGAGGAATTTACGTCAGTGATGTTTTTGAAAATGGAAATTGCAGATTATTCCAGGAGAACCCCCAAGAGATTCATTTGTTGTTAGGGGCAGATGTTGCTGCTGCAAATTTATTTACAGGTAAAATCGAAGTTCTTCCTTGGGGAAGATTAGTTGCTGTAAGTACAAGACTTGGGTGGACAGTCATGGGGAAAGCGAACACTGACAATTATGAAATAGAAAATTCCTTTTCCACGCTTTCGTTATCTTTACATATTTCTGATGCCACGTTGTCAGAACTGTGGAGGCTTGATGTTATCGGAATAACAGATCCAGTTACAAAAAGGCTAGAGAGGAAAGGGATTTGCAAGCAAAATTGCAATTCGAAAATTCTGTATCTCTAAACGAAGAAGGGCGTTATGAAGTCGCACTTCCGTGGGCGGAGAATCATGTACCACTCTCCACCCACAAGGATTTAGCGTTGAAACTTCTACAATCTACCACCCAGAAACTTTTATCTCAAAATTTATTTTCTTCATACAATGCAGTTTTTAATGACTGGTGTTTGAAGTGACCGGAGTCGATGTAGCCGGTCCTCTTTATTTAAAAAGGAAAAAGGCTGATCTTGCTCTTTACTTGCGCGGTCTATCGCGCGATACATCTTGAATGATAGAAAGTTATCAACTAATGCGTTCATCTTGGGATTAAAGATTTATTGCCAGAAGAGGTCGTCCAAGTATTATTTACAGCGACAATGGCACTAATTTCGTTGGAAACTGAAAATCTTTTAAGATCGATAGATTGGAAAGAAATAGAATGTAATTCAACTAATATGAGAATACAGTGGAAGTTTAATCCCCCAACTGCTTCATGGTGGGGGTGGGGCGGTTGGTGGGAGAGGTTGGTACAAACAGTGAAGAAGATGTTGAGAAATGTTCTCGGCAAAATCCTGTGTCTCTTACGAGGAAATGTTGACTATACTTTGTGATATCGAATCAGTGAATTCAACTCAAGACCCCTTACGTACCTTTCAGAAGATCCAAATGATCTTACGGTACTAACTCCTTCAATGTTTCTACAAGATGTGCACACGACGTCGGAGTGCCAGACTTAGACTACCTGGATACCATTAATCTGACAAAAAGATACAAGTTCTTGCAGAACATTAAGAGAACATTTTCGCAAAAGATTTCGTGATGAATATTTAGCTATCCTAGTGCAAAAACCATCTAAACGATCTACTCGGACTATCAACAAAAATGACTTGGTGTTTGTCGGCAGCGACAACAAGAAGAGAATAGATTGGCCAATAGGTCGTGTTGTAGAACTATATCCTGGGAAAGACAACGAAGTACGTGTTGTCAAAGTGAAAACTGCAACGGGTGAACTCCTAAGACCTGTGAAACGTATTTATCCTCTCGAACTTGATAGACCTAACTTGTTTAGTGACTTTCACCATGAACAGAAAAAAACTCTGCCGATAAGTGTGACAGTGATATGAACTATCAAACTAGATATGGACGTAAAACTGTAAAACCTCTTACATATTTTTAAATTGCTATACTAATTTTTGTTTCTTTTCAGTATTTTAGAAATTTAATTGTCCTAACAGTAGTCAATTTGGAACATGTTATCTGGATATGGTATGAATGTAATGCAGAAAATGTTTAGATGTGTAATCCTTCTTTGTAAGTATTAATTTTAGAGCATTAGTTACTTTTCATATTTGTGAAAGTTGTACTTGAATTTTTGTTTGATTATTGATAAATTTTGTTTTGATTTTCCCATCTTATCGAGGTAAAATCAAAAGGTGGGAGGATGTCACATTCTTGCCACTAGGTGGCGGGCATCTCTTCCTTTACTTTTGCTGTAATTAAGTTCCGAGAACCAGTCGAGATTGGAACCGCTCTGAGGAGCGTAAAGACTCAGAACTAAAAATGTACTGTCTTAAAATAGTTATCACCTACCTTGTAAATAGTGTATATTAGCTTTTTATTTCAATAAATAATTAAAAGACAAGATGGCCTGCTAATTGTAATAGAAACTCTTACTGGTAAACGTGATTATTAGAAGCCTGGCGTCGAGAATACTGAAGATGCAGCAGGTAAGGAATTTTACATTAATTTTATTGTAAATAGAAGAACCTGATGCAACAGTTAGCCTATTAAAACGCTTTGGAAATATTTGAAAGGAAAAGATCTATCGATTAAAAAATCATCCAAAAATGCATTGCTAGAAGCTGTAATTGTAAGTAAGACGTTATATAATCTCAAGAAGTATTGCAGAAGATTATTAATAATGTACCCAGATGACGTAACATAATTACAAAATAAATGTATTCTGGGGGGAATTATGTTCATAACCCATAAATATTAATTTCAAATTTAAATATTTCAGAAAGTATATTTTCAAGAAGCAGAAAATTAAGCATTAGACTAAGAAGGAATCAATTAAACAACAGGTAACTTACACTGTAGGATTTAACTTCTTTGTACATGGTGACCTGGAAAGTATTGTAATACACTTTGACTCCAACCATGGATTTTCTGAAAGTGAAAATTAAAATCAATAAACAGTTTCAAAAGAGTAAACTTCAGCCATCAAATATACCATCTAAAAATACATGTAACCTTACGTTACGTTACTTATTTTGATAAATGTTAAAATATGAAGATTACGTAATTTAAATTCTGTGAGATTCTGTAAGATTATGAAGCACTTTTTGAATTTATGATTACTCGCTCAGCACTTTTTATGACCCTCCGTCCTAGAAAATGGTTTTATTTCGACTGTACTAAGTGCATGCTAGATATGCTCAAGATCTTACATCTTTTTTGCAGGTTATTGACTGAAGTTATGTCAGAGCCGCTGCTAGAATTTTAATTAAACACTAAAAAATTTATGAATAAGCAGGAAAACTGCTTACTGGTCTGTTGCTTCTATATATTTTAACTTCCCATTCGGATCAATCCTTAACGTTCGAATAGCTTTCGCTGTCCTGTAAAATTCTTCATTTAGTTCACTGGAAGCAACTGTATAACTATACTTCGTCTCACTGAAACGAGAAAGAACATTTAAGAATGCAATAAACGATCATATGCTCGTGCATTTTAAGAGATAAACTAAACTTAAAAGGCCTGTCTAGTAAAGTATATTTCAAAACAGAGATTTCAGGTTTTTAATCATGTTTAGAAAATAAAATGTACTACGGCTGCTAATGTATACCAGGTACCTTTACTTCTGAAAAAGTTTTTATTGTATCTAAATAAAGTTATAAAATGCATCAGACAATTATAAAATGGAAATTATCCTTTTAAACTGCAGTTTTTTAAAAATTGTGAATTGAGTTTACAACGATAAAATTGGAAATACGTGATCTCAGTTCTCATCAATTTAGTTTTACGTCTTTTTACTTCCTTGTACGAAATAAAGGAAATCGTTGCCTTTTTCGTTGCAATCGGCTGCACCAATCGTATATATGTATATAGATAGATAGTATATATATATATTTCCAACCTGTTACCTGGCTCGGTGAGCATAGGTTTTTACTTTCTTGTACGAAGTAAACGAAGTATTGTAATCGCGAAAAATTTTGGATATCGTATTTCAATGAAAATATCCATTTTGACCGCTCTCGATTCCATTTGAACGATGTTTTTGCATTACATCTGTACGTACGGACAGAATAAAGGACTCTTTTTCTCAAATCGGTTTGTGAAATGGATTCAGAAGAGATTTTTTTCATGACGTCTGTACGTATGTGCGTGCGTACGTATGTTTGTCTGTATCTTGCATAATTCAAAAGACGAATAGACCGAGAACGCTGAACTTTTGTATATGGGTCTACTATAACATGTAGATGTGCACTTCCCTTTTTGGTTGCAATCGACCGCATCAGAAGTATATTATATACTAATCTGTTACCCGGCTCGGTGAACTAATTTTTTTAATTCTTATATATTGGTATTTGTGTATTTTTTGCTTTAAAAGTAATTGAATTATATTGTTCTTATGTTACGGTTAAGGTTTTTATGCCTTTAGTTAATCTGCATGCAACACTTGTAGAACTATCAACACTTTAAAAGTTTACATAGCAAGTTAAGCCTAACAAACCGCCATTTTGTCTACATTTGAAACTCAATAGAATAATGAATTAAGTAAGTTTCTGCACATTCAGTATATTTTTCTCGAGTGGAACCAAACGTAAACTTTCAGTTTTGTTCATCGAACAGTCTACCTTCTTGCCCGCTGGCCGAATTGTTTGTTTTTGCATAGAAACTCTAATTTTAATTGTAAAAACCTTTTTTCAACTGTTTTAACTTATTTGATGTTTTATAGTTTTCTGTATTTTATATTTCTTAATGAAGGTGTTTTGAATGTTTATGTAATTTTGCCTTGCCACAAAGTGGGAACTGAATTAATTGAATGCGAAATAAATTCGAGGAAACAAGTTTACATGAAATGCAGCAAAAAATGTGTATAATTTAATAGGCCATATAAGGAAGTCATGTAATGTCCAGATCAGATTTTCTTTTTCTTTTTTAAAAGTAAGTTTGGTATTATGCTTACAAGGGAGATATTCTTCATTTCAAGATAAATAAGGTGTAAAATTAAATTTTCTAGCTAAGCAGTGGAGAAAATTATGAAAAATAATAAATTATCGCCTTCAGGACGTCTTTTTACTAATTTCTTTCTTCTGCTTCAGATGTAAAAGTTTACTTCTTACATTAACTAATTTTAGCACTCTTACTTTCAGTCTTTCAGCTGCATTATTTTTATTACCTGATATACATATTACCTACATTATATTTAATGATACTTATTTGATGATGTACCTTCGATAAATCCTTTAAAGCAGTTTAACAACATTATTTTCTGAATACTGATAAGATACGAAAATTACGCAAATTTAGTTAGAAGATGACAATATGGATATTTTAAATTGTTCACCGTAAAATATTACAGCATTTAAAAAACAAGCTGTAAAAATTTGAACCTGTTTAACATTTTTGCACTGATAAAAATATGGATATTTTAATTCCAGTTATTGAACAAGGGTATGTTATTTTCATATAAAGTGATTCTTTTGTTCTTCTGTAAAACTAGTTTTTTTCAATTGCTTTTAAAAAATTTATTCCTTTAAAACAAATTTAAAAAAAATCTACTTAAAGAAAAATATTATCATTTTCATTTACCCCTTCTTATTTCTTCTTAAATTCAGGTGCTAAATAAAAAAGATATTACAAAATCTAATTAAAATTTTGATTAATTTAATATATTAATGTTCAGTTAATCTTTAATTCAATGAGCTTTTAATAATGATATTTACTAACAACATTTAAGGAAATCCTTCATTTGTTCCCAATTTTAGCGGTAAATAATATTAATTTTTCTTTGTATGATTTGCATTCGGAGGAATGCAATATTAGAAACATTTTTTAAAACGTAGAGATCTGCTGATAAGTACCTGAAACTAAAATGTATTAGACGTATCAAAAATAATAATAAAAATCTATATTTCTATTTACCTAAATCATCTCATGGTTTCCTGTCCTATAATTTAAGAATGTAACAAGCCATTAAATAATTCTTTCATGTTGACTTTTATGACTTTTAGTACATAAGGTAAATAAAATAATGATTTGTTTTTAGTGAATGTGTGGTGAATTAATTAAATCAGAAAAAGATCATTATTAAATTACCAATACTTTGACTTTCAAAACCTTTAGAATAACTTATTTTTGTTCAGTTTTCTAGGTACTGCCACGCTCAGGAAAAGAGTCGATAGCGTATTCTGTCCTTGGCAAGTACGACGATATCACGCAATTGCGTTATAAAATAAACTGATTATCGAAAGGCAACCTAGACTTTATCTTTTAATTAATTACCTGCAAGGTTGTTTGCAATTGCAATGCGTGCTGGTCTTCTCGAGATCCAATGTCACCTGTTTGACGCACATCTCTACAATGAAAAAAAATACATAACTATATTTTCAGATATTTAATTATTTTTTCATAAAAGAAAAGAAAAAAAAAAGCTTGCTGCAGTATTTTGTTGTTCCGGGGGGATTCTCTTTTCTTCCCGCTTGAAGTTTTCGATTCTTATGCAATAATTTTTTCTGTAGTCTGAAAATGAACGAAGAGGCATAATAAAAATTTATTGATTATTATGATGGAGTTATTTTGGAAATTGATGGCTGCTATTTTGAGGTGCTAAAGTTTGCCGAAGGGTTTTGCAGTATAAATTCACTACTTAAGAGTTTTATGATCATGAATATACTTTATATTATTTCGTTTTATGATCAGGAAATATATATATATGGGTAAAATATAAAAAATACGATGGCTTTGCTCTACGCGAACAGGCAACCTCTAATTAATTTTCCTCAGTTTCAGGATCCTTTCCTCTAGACCAGTACTTTCGAGAACATTCTGGTATGTTATGTAAATCACCATTTTTCGTCAGACTGCTTTCTCCTCCTGCTGCTAACAAACCTTTCGCTCTTCCCATCTGTCTCCCTTTGTTCGAATAGTATGATGCAGTAAATTTAATCTTATTTAGTTTAAAAACGTTATTTGATATGTAATTAGGAGAATTTGATTTAAAAGAAAAATGATCTGCCATTTGAATTGAATAAAGATGTGCAATTAAAGGCAAAATGCTGTGTCATCATTCTGCTGTATTACACTCAGCCACAACAATGCCAGGATTCTGATGCCAAGCTTCCTTATTCCTATGCCTGACTGCCCACCAGCGGCCGAGCGGTAAAGTCGTTGAACACTGGTAGTTCGGTCCGAGGTTTGAATCCCGCGAACGGGCTGGTTGCATGGGCGTTTTCGTGGTTTTCCCCATGTGTAACGTGTATACGAGCCAGTTACCCTTAGAAAGTCCTCCACGAAGGCATCCCTCCCCTTAGGCAGATAGCCCTCGTGTGCTTTGCCATAATTAAATACACACACCTATGCCTGACTGACAAATTATTAAATAAAATTAATTACTGCCTGACCCCTCCCCCCCACACACATATAATAGATTCTGGAGTAGAACGCAGGTGGTTGTATCCACAACGAATAGTTAGAATTTTGATGCCGTAAAATGCTGAAACGCCGATCCACAATGAATAAGAAATTTGGCAGTCAAGGTATATTTAATTTATATTTTTATTTAATTTATATTTTATTTCAGTAAACATGTTGAGGAGGCAATCCAGTTGGCACATTAATTGTGCCTATTCCAAAAAGCTTACATTTTTGATAACTTTGCAGCAAGAAAGAAGCAGCAGATAGACAGCAGTCCAGGTAAGCCAAAGCGTTGAAAGCAAGTGCGTTACGTTCAAAGTGAAATCTTAATTCAGACTGAGTTTTGGTTCTCAATGCATTTTAATTGAATGGTTAATATTCCTGTAAAATTACTATTGCCTGTTTGAGTTTTAGTTTCATTTACATCTTCAGAATTATTTAAGAGTTATATGACATAGATTTTTCTCGAAATGAAGCAGTGCAAATAGAAGTTACTATTTTTAGAATACAGAAGGGAATTAATTTTCGCTGCTAATTTAATATTTTTACATATTCTTTACACATATATATATGAAATTATTTGATTATTCACTCTTTTCCGAATTAAAGATTTCATAAAGCTGCAAAATTAATTGTAATATAAGCATTTATATTAGTAAGTTAATGCTAAATACTTTTAAAGCACTAAATAACAGGAAATAATACAGGGTTAAAATATTTTTTAAAATATGAAGAAAGCTTTCAGATTTTTTATTCCGCCCAAAGGAGCTTTTCTTTTACACACACATACACGTGTCGAAAGCATTTGAGCTAATGTCTCTTTGAACTAAAATTATTTAAAAACAACATAACTTGATAATTTCAGATAGACAGTCTAGCTCGCTGGAGATAAAAAATGTTTTACCCTCTACAGTGTTGCTACTGCTCGCTTTGAAACCTTTGAGTTTTTTTAACCAAAAATTTGTCATAAGTTTGCCAAATATGAGATCGACATTGAAACAAATTCCAAATTCGGACATCTAGGTGCCGATGTCTGGGTGGAGGACGTTACTCAAAATTTGATAACTCTAGGCACCTTTGTTTCTTCATAGTACGACAAACATACATACATTTATGTAGATTCTTTATTATTTAGTTTCTTTAAATATAATGCACGGCGATACTATTTGGTGTCAACAATTCGAAGAGTGATACATACGTTTACAGTGATTTGACGCAAAATGCCGCTTCGAGACTAATATCTTTTCTGGGCTAACACTTCTGGGAAAATAAAAGAAAGAAAAACAGGCATAGAAAACAGTTTAGGACTTAAATTAACAACGATAACGTTAAAATTGACATCGACGTGAAACTCTCATAAAACGAAACGAGAAGCTCCTTCGGAGCTGTTCTGCAAAATATGTTCTGCGCGTGGGAAGCACTTGGTTATCTGTGTCTCGTGCTAACATGCTGATTCATCAATGTACTAGAAAATACCACTTGGCGATCCATAGGAAGGTTAGAAACCGATCGAAGCTAATGAATAATTTCGTCCACCACTTAAGAGAGCCGAATGTAATTACAGGCTTATAGGTTTGGTTCCGAGAGATGTTAGAGGATTGCTTGTTCATGATGACCTATAACCTTCTACGAAAACCATTATGTGTCATGAATGGGTGTCAAAATGCCATGCACCTTGCAGGCAACTGTTAACTGCGACTGGAAGAAATACCGGACACGAACAATTCGTAGCGGCTTTCACATATGACGACAGAATTCAAATAGTCGAGTTGTTTGTCTCGCATTGGCCTCCCAACAACATAGAGCTCGAAGAAACAAGGCTTTGATTTAGCATACAGATGGCTAATCAATGTCTTCTGATTTAGGGAAAATATGGCAACCGATATAGCTTAGCGCAATAGTGGAGAGAGAATGCTTGTTTTGCTGGATGGATTGCTTGTTTGTGCAACTCTTCTTTAGACTGACGAAAGTAAAGTGCTTATTATGTAGGTATTCTTATAAACGTACAGAGACAAAATGTTTAGATCCTTGGTTTTGGCTTATATTTCTGTTATCTTCGATTCAGCTCTGTTTATCGAATCGGTCAGCTCTGCCTGACCTCATTCAGCGCGTCTTATAACCCAGATACCTGAAAAGGAACAATAAAGTAAATAGAATGGCCTACATGCTTCTCGAGTTTAAATCCGATAAAATTTATTTGGATGTATTAGGTATTGCTGCTAAACTATAGTCTGCGTAGAGGTATATTCAGTTGCAAAATACGTTTTTTAGTGTAGGGATTAAAATCGCCCCATACCTTATCGAACACCATTAATTCCATGCTTTGCATGTGTAAAACAACCATTCACTTTCGAGGCGACCACCGGCCTGATCAGACTGTTGATAAAATTCGTCAGTGCTTATTTTTTCTTCTTCGAATTAAAATGGTAATAAAGATTATTTATGGTATCAAATGGGATTCATATAAAATTATTTTTGCTTTCTTTAATCTATGATTTTCCCCCTGTTCGATTTTGTTTTTGTTCTAAAAGTAAATTTTATATTTCGCCGCAAAAATTTATTAATTATATATTCGAAAATTTAAATAACAGCGAAACAGTGAAAAAATATATATTGTATTTCATATTTACCAGCACTTGTCTTTGTCGTTAAATCACCCGCTTGTCTATTTTTTTTTGAGAGCATAGCTTGCAGAATAATACGGCATAGAATGTAATGGGTGGGCATAATGAAGTGGTTCACTTTTTTCATGTTGCGTGCTTAAAATTTTCATAGTCAGAAAAGAGCCAAATATTTAAGATATATAATCAACTCCCATTAACTTCAAAACGCTAGAACCTCTTTCATTTTATTTCTTCGAAAGATAAAGAATTACAAAATAATCACCCTGACTAAAGTGAAATGGCAAAGGTGGCCATATAAGTTTATCGATTGAAAAGATAGTTAAAGAGTTCTTCAAACTGTAAGTCACACAAGTTCAGCTAGAAATGAAATATGTTTTTTCTTTTACTGTAGAACATCTGCGTATACTTCAGCAAATGGTTCATTTAAATTAAAATTCTGTCATTTTTGTGAATATGTTTAATCAAAAATTAAAATTAGAAGGATTTCTTACAATAAAGTACTTACTTTCTCTTAGATTACTGATGTTGCATAATGGATACTGAATATTATTTCTTGAAACGACAGTTTCACGAAGTAAATGCCTCATGGTGCAGTTACATATTTTTGTCATATATATCAACGCACATGTCTTTTCACATCCCTGTTAGGAAAAAAAAAAAAAACAAACAAGGTAACTTTAGGTAATATAGTACCAAAACATAGTATGTTCAATGAAATTACATTCAATTAAACCATGCCTTCCATCTCATAAGCATTGGAAAAACTTGTAATTGCAAAGAAGTGCAGCAATAAAAATTAAAGAAACTTCAAGATTTCTGAATATTTGTGAGAGGATTTATATTTATTATAACACATATTAAAAGACTGAACTATATGGATTCCGGCAAACCTCGCATGGGTTATTTGCTTGGGAAGGAGTGCATCCGTAGATGATTTTTTAAAAAAAACTTAGTCCTATCCATGTTACACATAGAAAACCGTGGAACCTCCTATGCTGGCAACACTTCCTCTGTGATTTAAGCCCGGATAGAACTATCAGTGTACAACAATTTTACCGTTAAAATATATATAAGTAATATAAAAATTTAAATACATCAGTCTTCCCAAACAGTAATAAAAAAGTTAAATCAAAAGCGATGTGACTTTGGGGGGAAAGTTATGTATTAATGTTGTTTATGTATATGTTACCTTGAAAGACCGAAATTGGAGAATGTCAACTTTCACCGGAGAATGTCAACATTCACGAAATACGTCGGTGAAAGATCGAGTATTTCTTTACATTCTTGTACATTCGGACCCTCACCGGTGTATGTCGACAATCACAGGTATGCTCTGGTGTAGGTCGAAAAGAGAGGAGTATATGTACACGCTGCCATTCCAAAAGGAAGTGTTCCACAAATAAATGCAGTTGTAAAAGCAAGGGCCGCTTGTGCAATTCAAAGTGTCATAATAGTTAAGTTGTTCCAATAAATAAGATTTGAATCACATAATTTGGTAAGTTTATAACTTCTATTATTTTCCTTTCTCATTTTGAATGTACTGTGTGTTTTCAGTTCTTATATTCTTAAGTTCTTATTCTGAGTCTCAAGTTCGTTTTTTCGCGAATGAATTACGGAGAAGGAAATATAATATTCTTATATGTTCAACATTCACCATTAGTACATGGTGAATGTCGACATTCACCGGTATAAGTCAGAAATAAGAGTATTTGGAAAATATTTCGGACATACATCAAGCGACTATGTGAATGTTGACATTCACCGGTGAAAGTCGACATTCTCCAGATTTCGGTGTTTCACCGTAACATATATATCAAAAAGTTCCTTAAAGAGTTATCGATGATGTGTAGTGCATAGAATCTAAAAATAACAGGCATAGCAGGCTTAATTCTTAACTTGGAGTTACTTCTTGAAAATTTTTATACCATCTCTCAACAAGATTGCTCTCAAAAGTTGCTACGTTTTTGAAAATTTGTGTTTGTTTCAAATGTTTGGCAGATTTGATTTATCTCTCGCTGTACATAAAATTCAGTGGTAGTGCAATGTGTTTTTTACCTTTCATACATAAAAGTATTGCTTAAAAGAAAGCAATTTTTAATAAAGCATGTAAATATGATACACACTTAAGCGCAGAGTTGATATATGGGACAGTTAATTACACATTACACAGGGTGAATATGAAAACACTTCCCCGATAAACTCTCAGTAGCCTATCCGCTCAATCGATAGAAATGAAATTTCAGATATTGTTATTTGAAAGTTTGCACTCTAGATTGTGACGATTCAAAACACTATAGCTCTCACGGTTATGGTGAAAGCATTCCAAAATTTCCCAATGGTAACGTTTATTTTTTTCCTTCGTAAATTGTTCTGAAAAAGTATAAATGGAATTGGGACGATACATAAATGACGAAAATTGCCAGCGTAAAAGATTTGCAAAGAAGAGCATTGTAAAGAACCAATGACAACACACAGAGACCTCCTCTGATGCGCTGGTGGACTTTGCATTTCACAAGGATAGATAATATAAATACCGATCACAGAATATCATGTTCAAAGAATTGCTTTTAGGAAAGCTTTTACTTAGCAATGTGGGGAGATCAGGTAATCAATCTTCTATCAGGTATGCGAAAGTACTAGCAAAATGACACTTACAAGGAAACAATGAGGTGAATTGATAGAACTTTTATCTGAGAGAGGAAAATGCTGCCGCAGCAGAGTAAGTTTATTGGCTGAATCATAAGCTAAGACGAGGTCCATGTTCCCTAAAAGCTACGGAATTTGGTAAAAAATTTGAAGAAACTGGATGTCCCTGTGATAGACCGCAATCCGGACGACCATGTATTCTGTTGAAGTTGTTGAGGAAATATAATATGATTTCTGCAGGTTCATTGCTTACTGCAAAAAGTGTTGCCCTCAGTTTGGATATACCGAAAACCGCAGTCCTCAGCCTCCAGCGCTCTGTTCTGCGGATGTTTCTTATCAATTTTAGCGCGTTCAGATGTTGCATCTGAAGATGACCAACAGCCTGTCGATTTTGCGAAATTTTTCCTCATCAGATATGAGCAAGGTAACAGGTGGCCGATTCGGGTATTATCGATGAATGAGGGACATTTCTGCTTAACTGGGAACGTAACTCCAAGACCTTCATTCACTGAGCACATAACAATGTCCTCACAATGTGGCACCAGCAGACTTACACGAACCTTGTGACTGTTAGTTGCGGCATCGCAAGTACATTCGTTCTCGGTCTGTACTTCTTCGAAGAGGTCGCTTTCACAGGTATAAAAACATGATCACAAGTGCTTAGTGTATAACAATGTTTCAGAATTACTTAAGAATTCAGAATTGCAGCAACGAAATGTCGCTAATAACATTGTATGGATTTAAGATGGTGCTCTCCATACGTCCCCTTGTGTCCTAGATAAATGCTGCAACAGCACTTTGGAGATAGAGTCATCTTTCGTAACTTTGCAGTTTATGCCCACCGCGATTCCCCGATGGATTTTTGGTTCTAGGGTTATCTGAAATCTAATGTGTATACACATCAAATCCACGAGATTTGTCAGAACTGAAAGGTGGCATAAAATGTGAAATCCACCTTCAATGTTAAGTTATTCACTGCCTTCAAAATCTCCGTATGCAGTGTGTTATCGTCTGCGAAGACGAGCACGTTGAAAAGTTATGATTCCATGTTGTTGTCGAAACTTGTGAAGTTTTTCCTTCTATCCTCGGTTGTTTTGCCATTGGTCATTTACAGTTTTCTTCTTTGCAAATGTTTTACGCCGGCAACTTTCGTCCTACGTGTATTGTTCCAATGCCAATTACGGTTTTTAAATGCTCTGATCGAAATAGTTCAAAATGCTTTCAGCACAAAATGTGCAAATTTAGCCAAGACCTAGGTATTTCAATTTGAAGCCAACATCAATTCGATAAAAATGCAATTTAAATATCAATTTCAACAAAGTACAAAAGTAAATTAAGAAATTTTTTAAAATTTTTAAAAAGGAATTAAAATTTTTTGAAAGATAAAAGTGAACATGAAAAAGGGAAGAATGTAAGCACATAGGTAAAAGAAAACTGTATATCAAGTAATAGTTCGAAAGCAAATTAAATTTAAAGGCAAATTAAATGAAAATTTTAGAAAAATTATAGAAAATGAATAATTGAAAAGTCAGTGAAACAACGCCGACTCATCGAGACGAATTATCATGGCACGGACGAAACATGATATCTGAGGAGTTGGGGAGAGAGTGAAATAAGCTAAGTCCCCCTAACGAGTCGGCATTGTCTCACTGACATATATATATATATATACATTGGGAGTCTCCATCTTTAGTGGTATTACGTGATGAAGATATTGAGTTTTTTCTTTATTTTGTGTTTTGTTGTGCAGTTCCCAGTTAGGTTATAAAATTTTTACTTTATAGCAATTTTTAGTCAATTTAACAATAAGAATTTAACTTTGTTAATCGAGAACAGCCCGGTTAATTTTTGTAAAAAGGACTCGGATACAATCATTTTTTCGATCATTTCATTGCGAATGCTTTTTTCTTATTTTTTTGAAGTTTTTTCTATTTTGTAATTTTATTATTTTCATTTATTTTTTTAGTGCTTTTAGTACTTTTTTATTTTTATATAATATTTCCAAAGATAAATTTTTTTAAGTGTATTTTTGTTTTCTTTGAGCACAAATGCATGTAGGGGAAGATCTGAACTCATCTGTGACTCTTTATATTGGATATAATACTAATTATTGTTACGAAGTTGGAGCATAACGGTTTTAAGTCTCAGATGGTCTACAGGAACGAAAACATGTATTCGAAACTCATTACTCGACCAAATTGAAAGTTTCAAACTCTCTCCCGTTGACATGTTATGTTTTTTTTTCCCTTTGAAAACATACAGACTCCCCGTGCACCACATATGTACAACACGGGCCTTACAGAAGTAAGTTAATTAGAACATTAAAGGTTACATGTATAAATAAACATTAAAAATTACATGCATAAATAAAGCGAACAAAAGCAGAGAACAGCAGTCTGGACTTCACGAAAACAGATAGGTTCACTGGCCAAGTCACTCCGAACATTTTCAAATCGTTCTGTAAGCATAATCTAGGGCCATCAAATGTAGGGCACGAGAAAATCAAATGTTCCACATCCTGAGGAACTCTTTTTGAACATTCACATAAATTGTTTGATCGTAGATTAAAACGAAACAGATAACTTGCAAATTTACCGTGACCAAATAAAAACTGAGACACTTTAAAATTTAACGAGAGGAAAGACTCGGATGGTAAATAGAAGGAAGGAACTTTTTGGTGACTTCAGCATTACAAGATGAAATGTATTCCTCATTCCACATAGCTAAAAGCTTTTTATAATGAAAGGACTTTCAATAACTCTTTGGAATGCTAATGTTGATATCAATGGGTAAATTTAAGGCATCTTTAGCTAAGAAATCAGCTCTTTCATTTCCGTAGAAACCATGATGAGCACGCACATAAGCAAAGCAGATATCAATACCTCTAATTCTAAGTGAACTAACAGTTACTAGGGTTTCGATAATTAATTTATCGCAGCTGGTAATACTGTTCAAAAGTTGAAGAGAAGAAAGAGAATCAGAACAAATAAGGTAC